TGCATTGGATGTTCAAGGTCCATTATATGAGTGAGAACATGTGATATTCGGATTTTTGTTTTTGTGAGAGGTCACTCAGTATTATAGACTCTTTTAAGCTGCCAGAAAATGGAAAAGAAGCTTTGGGATACATAGTGTAATGAACCAGTATTCTCAGGCTTAGAACACTATGAGGATAGAGAGCATCTTAAAGTCAAAAAACAGAAATCTGAGGTTCCAGCAGTTCAGCAGGTTTGCTGGGAAAATGACTGGGACTTGCTATACTTGAGCTATACATATTTCGGTAGAGCAGAGATATCCAAGCTACCATGTTCTGCACCTCTCATTTTAGTGGCATACCAGCGTTCCAAGTTTAATGCACAACATCTGTGCTGCTTAGGCGTTGAAGCCAAATGCTGGATGATGTCCCATTGGTTAGCTATACGCAGAAACCAAAACATAATGTGCACAAAGTGGAATTTACACTTGCAGTACTCAAAGCAAACTTAGTCTTTTGGGCAAGCTAAAGGCCAGTTAGCACAGGAAAAAATACAAATTGGGCAAATAGATTTTTATTACTTTCATGTGTTGTCAGTTGTACAAGTGAAGTGGTACTCCAAAGTCAGCTTTTTGAGTGCATTTTCCACACTAGAGAGGTAAGAAATCAACCCTCCTAACACGTATCCTACAAAGAGAGAGAAATTACACTACTACCGCTTAAACCTGCAGAAAGCTTCTCTCTTCAGTTCTGCAGCATAGCCTCCAACTCAAAAGCCCAGAATAAAGCTTAATGTCTATAAGCACACGGTACCAACCCAACGGCAGCATTCATTCACTCATTCCTTTATATATTTATCCAATATGCACTAACTGATCACTTTGGGGTAACTAATTCTATGCTAAGTGCAAATGCTCTACTATTTTAGGTGAAAGGTATTTGTAGTCAAATTTCATCTCACATCAGAATTCAGTAGCAAATGCAATATCCACAGAATTGTCAACCAGTGTACATATGGAACAAACACTTAACAATTTTCTTATGTGTTTAACTCTCTGTTTGCAGTGTCTGTGGGATATGAATATGAGACATGCCCTGACTTTATTCTCTGGGAGCAAAGGACAGTCATTTTACAAGGTTTTGAGATGGATGCTTCTAACCTAGGAGGCTGGTCTTTGAATAAGCATCACGTTTTGAATCCTCAAAGTGGTAAGCAGTTTTTAAAATTTTTACCAATACTGTTTTCCTAATGCTGTCTAATACATATTTTTGCAGAAAATTTGGAAAAGTACAAGAGAAAAATTACCCATAAGAACACCACTTAGAGATGACCACAATAATATATTTCCTTTCAAATACAGTGATTTGATTTTGAATTTGTGTTAGTGTAATTAGAACCAGAACACTCTCATCATCAATCTCTTCCTCCTTTGGTTCACTTTTACTGTTGTCACTTTCTCCTAGTTTGCTATATAAATGTTAAATAAATCAGTAGAAGGGACCACAAGTGGTCCTAAGGTCCGTGCTTCTTTGAAACAAACTAATTTTGCTACCCTGGTTATAACTCTTTCATCTAAGTTCCTCCACATCCTGTTTCATCATACTGGGAAACCAGTCATTGGTGTTTCCATCCTCTGAATATCTACTGTGGAATCATATTTCTTTTCATCTAAAAAGGCAGATTGTGAGGAAGCTGCAGTAGGACATGTGCATTGGGTTATTTTTCCAGAATTAGTGATCAGAATGTTCTGAGGGAGCTACACTCTCCCATCCAGCCATCCTTATATCCATCTTCCCTTTGTGGAACAGGAGACTAAGGCCGGGTTATTTTACAAGGCCATGAACTGACTAAAGCTAAGAGATCCATTCTAATCACATCTGTGATATCACTTTGTTTGCACCATAGTCAAATCAGCTATGCCAACTAGCCCCACAGGCTGGGAAAATTTGAATGGCAAAGCTAACCAGATTTGCCTGAACCATAAAATGAGACCACCTACCATAGTCCCAGTGTGGGACTCTGAAGGGGAATGAGTCCACTGCTTTGTGCCCCCATTATACTTCCTTCTCTTCGTTCAAGGAAAATTCTAAATTTCATTTCAAACTATTTTTTAAGAGCAAAGATTCAGGCACAGATATAAAATGTCAGTTTTTTTTTTTCCTGTTGTCAAAAGGAGAGCCACAGTTTTAAAAGTACAAAAACGAAAGGGCAGATGCCACTTATTAAATTATTAGGTTTTTTGTTTTGATTTGAAAGAGTTTGACATTTTAAGCAGCCATTTCTTTTCCACTCACTTTTATTGGCTTGTATGAATTGTCTCTTTCAAATGCCTGTCATTGACATTAAACACAAAGTGGGAAATGACCTCAATCGAGCAAGCCCCCAGCTGTGTGCTCCCAGCCCTGTATCCTCTTACCATTTGCTTCACACAGACTTGAAAAGTTCAGAACAGAGGGGAGTCATTCACAAAGTTGGCTTTGGGGGGTCCCCTGATTTCCACAAATGTGTTCTTTCCACCCCTAACTCACCAGAAATTGGTTTTTAGGTAATAGGAACCAAGTTATTTCTGAGGATTTTTAACAACTTTATTGAAGTATAATTTAAACACCATAAAATTCACCCATTTTGAATGTATACTTCAATTATTTTTAGTAAATTTGTAGTGGTGCACCATCACTACAATCCAGTTTTAGAAGATTTTTACTACCTCTAAAAAATGTCTTGTGCTCACCCACAGCCCCATTAAATCTGCTTTCTGTCTCTACTTTTCAGAGAATTTTATTCTGAGAAAGAAGCCTTACCTTGGATAGTTTTTTTTAAAAGGGGTATTTGTTCATTTTATTGTCTCATTTGTAGATGAATTGTCTTTCTAACCAAGAACTGGTCACACTTGCCAGGAAACAGATCTGAAGCCAGTTCTACTGCTGCCCTTCAGCCTGACCTTGGATACGAACACCTCTCTTGGGACATTTTCGAAGTCTAAATCCCACCCACAAAGGCAGTTTCAGAAGCAGGAATAAGTGTGACGGAGCAGCTTTGGGAAGACCAATTTAGAAAGCAATGATCTTTCCCCCTCGGGTCAGGCAGTCTTTTCTGACTGATTAAGGCAAGAGAGACATCTTTCCAAATTCTCCCACTCCACTTCTCTCTGGAAAAAGCATAACTCTTTAGGCACCCTGCTTTTTTGATCTGAGAGATAGCAGATTAGAAACAAGAATCTATCTTCCCCCCAATTTCCTCTCACTGGTTAAAAAGACACCTGTAATTAGATTGGATGTCTGCTGCCATTCTAGTCTTCAGTTTTTCTTTGGCTCTCAAATTATTATTCAGTGGGTAGTTTCCAGCAAGCAGTGTTTTTAGAACATTTGTCATTTCAGTTGCAGCAATTATATTTACCTGACAATTAACCATTGGTTGTGGAGGATTGTTTCCAAATATTATGCCTGATATATGAGATGGTTCTGACTTTCATTGAGATCAAAACACAAGAAACTTGGGGTTTTCAACATTCTTCCTTCAAAATACATCTTAGTGATTACAGAGAGGGCATTTTCATTCTTTTTAAGAAAACTTACTTCTTCAAAACTATGACAAAGATGTGCACATGTTTTATGGAACTAAGCTATTTGTTTAGTCTATATTTTTATCAAACATATCCCCTAGTGTTTCCTGCAAGTTGAATGTTAAAAACTATTTTTAAAAGAGCAATCCAGGGTACTAATTGGGTATTGTCATCTGTCTGAAATTGGTAAAGAATTTCCTTTAACTTAGCCTCCAAGATAGATCAGTAGTTTGTCGACAAATGGTTTTACTGGGAGGGGAAGTAAATTTCCATTGATCATACTGGCATATCTCCCACTTTGTGTTTATATCCTCTCAGTCAAGTACTGAGAGAAATATATATTGTGTCCCTTGTTCATAAGTTTGAAAAATGGTTTCTTCTTTGAAATCAGCATAAAGCACCACCCACTGGCTTCCAAGGGGAATTTTTATTTCAGGCATATTTATAAGCTTCAAAAGAAGTTCTGAGCAAAGTAGCAGGAGAGTATGAGTAGTATATTTAAAAGTGTGCTTACCTTATTACACAACAGACTTAGCTTTGAAGCAGAGAAAAGGAAAACTTAGAAAAAAACTGTGCAGTAGGTCCCATTCAGTGGGATTTCATTGTTGACTGTAAATAAGTTACCCAATCCTTAGCAAGAAGTTGGCCTTCATATAAATAATGTGTGTTGTCCTAGGATCATTTTATTCCCTTTTCAAAATGAGCATGTGTGGCAGAATAAACTGGAAAGGAGGCAGCAGTAATTGATCAAGATTTCTAGGGACATAAACAAAATATTTTCAAAGCAACATTTTGCAGAAGAACTGGTGTTAAATCATTGTTGCTAGATGGTATGCCCTGGTTCTGTGTAATAGAAGGTTAAACAGATTCTTGAAACAACAAAAACACCCTTCAAAATGATCTATTTTTCCAGGGCAATACAAAAGGGGTTTGCCCATTTTTGTTTTGATTGCTTCAGCTTTAAACAGGAATGGTAATTTCAGTACACGGGCACTTTAGTACCTTGCATGAAAGCAAGACATCAATTGTTGAGATGTAATCAGAAAGTACATTGCCTTATGTTTTATTTCCTTTAATCATTCTTCTTCTTTGATGGAGTGCTGGGCTTTCTAATAGAAAAGGGGAGTTTTAGAATTGCAGGCTTAGAAGAATGGTTTAGAATAGCCATCTTTAGTTTTTAAATTGCCAGGAGCCTGGTAATAACATGTCATTTTGAGGGTAATTGTTAACTATACCGTTATATTGATATAAAAAAATAGAGATCTACCTGTGAAAATAGATGTTAATAGCAAATCTGGTATTTCCAAGCCAATAATTGGAAAGATTTTTGAATGATATATTCTATAGTGTATTGCTGAAACACTGACATGCTAAACAGTGGTTTCCTCACTTATTAAAGAACATATCATAGTCTCATTGGTAAAATATTCAGTTAGCAATCATCAGGAGATTTGTTTTCAGTCATGTTGTGCAACTGTCATTCCAGTTCTCATTCACCTCCTCCCAATTCATTTGAATTGCAATATTGATCACATTGCAATTAAATGTTTTTTTGGGAAATGAAATTCAGTCTTATTAATCTTACTTAATTAACTATTCTAAATCTTAAGAAGGGTCTTTACTACCTAATAAAGTTATTAATAAAATAACAAGAAAGTAGTGATCCTCAAGATATCACATAGTTCTGCAATAAAAGACCAATTTGTTAGGGCATAAACTCACAGCTGCTCCTGCAAATCATAGGTTGAAAAATTAGCCAGAAAACACCCTGGGAGGAAAAGTAAAAATATTTAAATTTGAAATCCAAAGACTGTATGATGGGTGTGATTTCTGTTTGCCAGAAGGCCCTTTCTAAACATATATTGGTGCCATAGTATTATGCATGTTTTACGCTCATATTTATTTTTGCCATTAATGTTCCTATCTCAGAGTGATCTCTGTTGTAGGACTGTGGGACCAACAGTTGAAAAAAAACTGAGGAGACAGTTCAGGAAATGTTTAGGGAACATAACAGGCAGATAGACAACAGGGGGCAACAGAGGGAAAAAAAAATAAGGCTATACTGTATAACTGCATTCATTCATTTGTTATCAGTGACTCCAGTCTGACACATTGGCATGCTTTCTCACAACACAAACGTTTCACCTGCCCTGGTTCATTCTGGGCTGACTTGAGCTATTAGCACAGCAGTACTTGTTCCTTGGATTTTCTGCCCAGGCACAGCAGGTTTGCAAAATCACTGGGATTTGGACAAGGAAACTACAAGAAGCTCAAAGCCTATTTTCAACATTTACTGAGCACTTATAATGATTTGGCCACAGGGATTGGCCCTGAAATACAGAAAGGAGCAAGATAGAAAGTCTGCCTTCAAGGAGCTAATTAATGTTCTAATAGGAAAGATAGAAAAGTAATAAATAATTGTGTCAAACAATGTAATAAGTGTTATAATAGAGCCATGGAAAACAAACTATGGGCACACAGAAGAAGGAGTCACTAACTGCCTGTATGGAGCATTGAGGAAGACTCGAGCTGAGCTTTAAAGGATGCGTAGAAGTTCTCTGAGCATACAAGATGAGAAGGGCATTCAGCATAGAGAGAGTAGCATGTACAAAAGCAGAGAATAATGGAAGTATGTGCAAATACTAACTGCAAGTAGTTTGATCTGACTGGAACTCAGGATACAAATGAGAGCACAAAGAGCAGGGAGACGAAAGAAGTAGGTAGGGGTTAATTCATGAAGGACTTAGTGTGCCTTAACAATAAGGAATGTGCCCCACCTCATTGACAAGGGTACTTGCATAATGAACATTTGTATACCTAACCCTGAGTTGTACCCCACATCTTTAAAATAGAATAAAAAATTAAAAGAAAAAAAAGGGGACTGGATTTTTAAAATGTGACACATATACACGATGGAGTATTACACAGCCATAGGGAAGAACAAAATCATGAACTTCACAGCAACCTGGATGGACTTAGAGTCTATAATACTGAGTGATCTTTCACAGAAACAAATAAACGAATATCACATGTTCTCACTCATAAGCGAAGCTTGAACAATTATTGTAATACCAAAAGAAAAAAATTGGCAGTAGTAGGAAACTGCCGGGAGTAGAGGGGGGAAACAGGATTTGCAGTAGTGGGAATCTGCCTGGGTAAGGGGGTACACTCCTCATTAACAAGGGTACCTGCATAATGAACATTTGTATAACTAACCCTGAATTGTACCCCACATCTTTAAAATTAAAAAAAACTAAAAGGAAAAAAATAAAGAATGTGCCCTTATAGGGAATTTGAAGCTATTGAAAGGTTTTAAGCCACAGACAGGAGTATGGACAAAGATTTGGACATGGATATGCATGGAGACCAGGAGACCAATAAGTTACGAAAAACTGAACTAAAGTAGGAATAGGGAAGAAGAAACTGGTTTCAGTATATTTTAAAATATCGTCTCAATGGGAGTTAGTTATTAATATGGTTTAGACAATGAGGAGAAAAGAAGAACCATGGCGTATGTTCTCACTCATAAGCGGACCTTGAACAATTATCATAATACTATAAGAAAAGGATTGACAGTAGAGGGAAACTGCCAGGGGAGGGGGGTGGGATTGCCAGTTGAGGGAAACTGCCAGGAGAGAAGAGCACACCTCATCAACAAGGGTACCTGTATAATGAACATTTGTATACTAGCCCTGAATTGTATCCCACATCTTTAAAATAAAATAAATTTTTTAAAAAAGAAGAATCATGGCAATGTCCAGATTTATAATTTAGGTAACTGTGTGCATGGCGCTACCACTCACAAGTTGAGTAGGAAACCCAGGAGGGTTTGGCAAGGGGTGCAGAAAAATCTTGAGTACAGTTTTAAAATGTTTGAGTCTATGGTACTTGTGGGACATCTAAGTAAAGAGGTCTAGTAGGAAATTGCATGCCAAGTAAGAACTCTGGATGAGGGAAAGTTTCAACATATAGAGATAGGAGTTAAAGCTGTGAGTATGGGTGAGAATGCTCAAACAGAATGTCTGCAAAGCATTTTCATAAGTCAGTATCTCTATTTCCTGAACTGAAGATAGTGTGATATGGTTCAAAAGAGTGGAAAATTCAAGTCCTTTTCATATATCTTTGAAGTGCATTCTAGCAGTAGGATTTCTTTTCTTTTCACAGAAGTAGATTACCTTCATGATTGTGTCTTGCTAAGGTTAATATTAAAATTGACTGATATTCTCTTTTCAGGAACCGGTTTCATAGTGAGGGTAATTTGAAGTCAGACAGGTATGTGCTAGGCATCAGAAGAGATAAAGTCAGTGATGAAAAGTTAACCACAGATGATTCAGAGCCTGGGCTGAGCAGGAGATCATTAAAAGTTTGTCATCAACTACTTTATTGAGGCATTTAGAATCAGCGTTAAAGAGACTGGTTGTATTACCCCACTTCACATATGGACAAACTGAGGCAGAGTGTAAGCTACTGTTTGTTATGGTTATGCAATTAAACAAAACAAAACCAAAGGCAGTGTGTTTCACTCTCAGGTTCTCATATGCCAGGCCAATGCCTTGAACAATGAAGGAAATTAAAATATTGCTGAGACTATTGTGTGGTAATTCCTTTTTTATCCTCTCTCTTTTTGTTTTCCTTGGGTCTAGGAATCATACATAAGGGAAATGGGGAAAATATGTTCATTTCCCAGCAGCCCCCAGTCATATCAACCATAATGGGTAACGGACACCAAAGAAGTGTAGCCTGTACCAACTGCAATGGCCCAGCCCACAACAACAAACTCTTTGCTCCTGTCGCCTTAGCTTCTGGCCCTGATGGCAGTGTGTATGTTGGCGACTTCAATTTTGTGAGACGAATATTTCCCTCAGGAAACTCCGTTAGTATTTTGGAATTAAGGTAAGTCTCCTCTAATCTTTATGTTTGCTTAGCAGATAAAGAAAAAAAGCAAGAGTAAGCTAATATGAAGAGACAAAACATCGCCAGAAGGAGCAGAAAGTACAGTTACCCCTACTGTAGCACTGAGTTAAGATGCAGAAATAGAAACAAAGGTAAACATGCCCATTCTTCCTACTTGAGGGAACCTTTGAACACTGCTTTGGAGAACCAGCAAGTGTTGACATCCCTGTATGTGTGTTTTTCCCTGTGTACATTGCTGTCACTGACATGGATCCAAATACTTCCAAGTGCTCAGGTATGTCATTCACCCACTGCTGGACACTAAAAAGACTCATCAGAAATATCTGTCTATGCTAGCAGTGAGAGGTATTGCTAGATCCAAAAGGTTAAGGTTTCTAAGTTCTTCAGATCAATTCCTTGAAGTAGTCATTTCATAAAGAAGGAAATGAAAATCTGTGTTTTCATGGCATAAGGACAAATTAGTGGCTTACCCTTAAAAACTCTACTCCATGATCATTAAAGCATTCATCTCTCACTGCTTAGGAATTTTCTTAAGAGTACAAAGTATTTTGACACCTTTTGTAAAAAATTCATAGTTTTTGGTATTCCAAAAACTGACATTACACAAAGATCACGATTAAATTGAGCATGGCTTAATCAGCTTATTTCTTCTCTGAGTCTATAAGACACAAATGTATATCCTTTGGAGTCCTACAAAAGGGAGGCATTCACTCCCATCCCATTAGGGATAAACAATCCTGTTTCCGCTCCCCTGGATAAATTGATAGAACCTTTCTTCTCATTGATTATGACAGCTCTATCCCTGACACATGCCTCTGATACTTTAGGTTCAAAGTTGTTCTATGTTTCTGAAGATTTTGATGCCATCCTATAAACTATTCCATCAAGTAATTTCTGTTTCAGGCATCCTCCTCAATGACCTGAACATAGTGCCCAAAATAGTGACTGGGAGAACAGAGACATTGATAGTACAATTTATATGTACACAGTACTATCAAGGCCAGTTAAAACACATGAGAAATATTGGGTCATTTTAATTTAATGCTTAGGTTCACACAAGCATGTACATTTGAATACATAAGGGCATTCCTCAAAGTTTTTCAGATTCTCGTGCTTGCTTTAGAATCTGCCTCCCTTTTGTCAAACTGAGTTATTCCTTCACACCTAGCTGGGGAAATCTTCTAGTCCCAAGCCCCCATCCATTTTTCACATTAATTCACTCCAGTTTTAATACATTTCTTAATTATAATTGCAAAAGCTGTCATAGAGAAGAAAGCTGTTAAATCCCTTGGATAATAAAAAAAAATAGACTGTAAAGTTAAGACTTTATAAAGACAGAGCACATCTAGAAAGCCTAGAGAGGTACTAATTCATAGCACCCTACCCTAATCAATTGTGCAAGTACCTCAGGATGTCAAACCTCACAGGAACTTGTCATTTTCAGCAGTATATCTCTTTGGGCACCTACTTACTAGAAAGTCAACAGGAAGGCCAAGATGGTTGTATGCTTGGATTTGGAAATGATTTATACAACACTCTACATTGTTTTCAAAACCCTAGGGGTGCTCGATCTACATAATGCCAAACATGGATAGGAGCACTGAACAATTCATTTAACATCTAAATGTTTCCAGTCATGCAGGCGTTGGCTGTTAGGTAGACAGAGACCTTGTCTTGCTGAGCCTATATAGTTAACCCTGTACACCCTGTATAGCTAGCTCCTATATGGCTGATTCATCAAAGGAAAAAGAGTAACATTATCTATAAAAACAAAACAAAAAATATTTTTTTTTTAAAAAACTCCAGCTAACTTTAGCCATTTTCTTTGTAATTTAAATGCAAATTTACCTAAGGTGTAGCAATTGTCATTCATTGATGAAATTTTCTCTTGGTCAAGGATCCTTAACACTTTACAAATTTGCATTTTAGTCCAAAGTATTTTATGACCTTCAACACAAAGCCATTTGAAGTATAAAATAGAATAACTTGGGCCCTAATTACAAAATGATTTTCTCAGTATAAAGAAAAATTAGTTTCTGACAGTTTGAAGTATTGTCCAATTCCTCTACTCATTCTTACTCTATGACACTGTTTTCTCTCATTGTCACAGCTCTTCGCTTAGGCATGCACACACAGTGAGCTCACACACACTATGAGCTCACACACCCAGGCTCTCTCACTTAGTCTGACTCTCCCTAGCTTGTTTTTCTGAGCTTGGATCCTTGAGAGTACTTCTTATTAACATCCTTTGCGTCGGTCTCAGACTCCTTTGAGAATCTACTGAAGCTATGGACCTTCCTCCTAGAAAAAACACATTATACACAATTGCACATGTGACTTAAGGGGTCACATTTTTTCCTTCTGTTGAATTTCCCATCCCTGTAGATGAAGCCCTTTCATAGACTCACGGTTAATAACCCCTTCAAAAAGAAAAAACAGCTCTCTCTTCTCTGTCTCAACACTCTTGTGATTGGTCATCAAGGAAATAAGCTGTTGATATACATGATAATTTTGACCTAATTGACAGGTAACTCTCTGTTTGTAGTCAAAACCGTCAAACCAGCTTATGTCAACATAGATTACCTGTCACGTTCACTCAGAAACTAATATAGTTCTTATTATATTTATTTGTGTAAAAAGCCTCTATGTACATTATACTACATATAATTTGTGGATTTATATAGTTGCTTTATAAGTTTTCCAGATTTAAACTTCCTGGGGAGAAGTAAGTTAATTGAATAAGGCTTATGCTATCTCAAAAACCATAATGTTCTTTGAATTCCACTGTATTTAGATTAAAAACTTCATTTTATACCAGTTTTTTGTTAAGATCAGTTAATTTAATTGCTCCTCGCCTCATGCAAATTAGTCATTTTACTTGGTTGAGTCATCTGTTTCCTTGGAAACACAGACTAATATAGTCATTATGTTATTGGTTGTATTTAAAATTGTGAATGGAGAAGCAATATTGTCAACAGGGATAGAGAGGCTTCTAAATCTTTACCCTCTGTCAAGTTATTCATTATATAACTTAACTACTATGTTCTCTACTTCCCTATCTATAAAATTGACTTTAAGTTTATATTTGAGCATGCACTTGCATGTCTCATACAATTCAACTTGTTTTGAGACCCACAAATGCATAATTCTCAGCTCAAATTTTAATGATATTTTAGGAGGACATATAGTTTGCCACCAACGGATGCCCTTCCAGATTTCCTTGTCTTCAATCCTTTTTTTCCATATTGGGCCATACTGACATTTTGAAGATTTTAAGACCGTAGTTTTTTCACACCTCAGCCCTACCAATCCAAACTGTTTGCAATGGAACTTCTTTTATCTGACCTAAAAAATAGCTTTATTTTTTTGGTTGCCAATTATTTATTTCCTCTAGCTTGTCCCCCATTGACTGAATAGAAAGGTAAAGGAAAAGCCAGTAATGTCATTTTCATTAAAAATATGCCAAAAGAAACAATTTTGTTATTTGTTATATGTCTAGTACCCCTTTGCTTGTTTCCGGCAGATATCATTCATTCACACTTACACATCTTAGTGCTTCCTTCCAGTGGGAGACTGAGGTAAAACAACAAATAAAGGAAGCTTATAAGATCATGCAATTAAACATAAGCATGTCTCAAATATATATTCCGTGAAGATTTTGTAAAAGCTATATGAGATAGCTTAGTTCTTGGTTTCATAAAAAATGCTCTTCATGCTAAAACTTTATATATATACACACGCACATACATACACACACATATGCATATACACATTTCAGTAGTGCAAAAGTATCACCAATCTGTGAACTTAACATTAGAAGGGTCCATGAGAACATCAGCACCAACACTGTGACAGTGTATGCCTGATAGTTTGTCATCTCTACTTCGTTTGATCCCCTTCAGTAATGGGAAACTTAAATATCTCTTAAGATAGCCCATTGCATCTTTGGACTGCTTTGTTAGAAAATTCCTACTTGTATTTGGTCAAAATGTGTCTTCATGAAAAAAAACCACTCTGTAGTGGCAAATGTTAATATCCGAAGCAGAACAAAAGTCACTCCTTTCTTTTATCTGACAAACTTTTGCAAGTGTGAAGACAGTTATCATAGGCTCCTGAGCTTTCTCTTCCTCAGTCTAAACATCCCCAAGTCCTTCAACTATTTCTCATCAATTATAACTTTGTTTTTTTGTTATTATAAAAAAGTAGCCTCAGGGCTACTTTTTGGTTTTCTGAAACTAATAGGGATAATGATATAAGTAAAAATGAGAGACACCATATCAAGTGCTTTGCAAAAATTTAAATCTGTAATATCCCTATTCTCCCCTCTCATCTTCTAATTTCACAATTCTATTAGAAAATCCATTAAGCATGACTGGAAAGGATTTATTCTCTATAAAACTTCATGCTGCTATTGTTCGGGATTCTGTTATTCTCCAGGTATTTATTTTGTCCTTCCCTTAAAAATGAAAGAAAGAAGAAAGTAAGAGCCTGGTAAATGCTTCTCGGTACCTTGAGTAATTTGGATTCAACAAATGTCAACGCGACATGAAAATTTCTCTTGAGATTTTACTGTTTCTTTTCCAGTGACTGCTTAATATTTCTTACTTTGTTCTCTGTCGTTGCTGGGGATGGAGTAGAGCTGGAATATCACCCATTTAGAAGCAGTTAGCAGGCTGAGAGGCAGTAGAATTTGTAGAGCTCTCTGCTAAAGGAACAAATGGAACTTGGGTTTTGAGAGCTCTGCAAATATCTGAGAAATGGTCATGGGCCATACACTCTTTGGCAGCACTAGAGCTGCAAAACTAGAAACACTACATGTAGTTAAAATAGGTGATTGCCTCCTCATTTGATCTTATATATGAGCAGTGACACTCAAAGGCTTCTTCCATCTTACCCCAAAACATCTTCACTGGCCTTCCCCAGTGCCCCAAATTCCCACTTTAAGAAAAGTGTTATTTTGAGTTGAGACATTGTATGTCTAAAAGTTCCCAACACAAGAACCTCTTAGAGTGGCCCATCAAGCTAGAAGTATCTATGAGTCCCTTGACATGAATTTGCTTACCAGATTGCTTTTCAAGGGAAGGCTAGCTGAAACTGGGTCCCTAAAACACAGGACAAGTAAGTTGTGATAAGGGCTAGCTGAAACTGGGTCCCTAAAACACAGGACAAGTAAGTTGTGATAAGGGCAAGGGACAAAGCCAAAGCATGGGAGAAGGTGGTCTTAAACGAGGGTTGCTGAAGTTGAAAGCTCTAAGAAGTCAGTGACAGGCAGGAGTAGGCACTGGGTGTTCAAAGGAAGAAGACTATGGAAATATGAGGGGTAGTCCATTATTCAACATCAAATGTTTCTGGCCAAGAATAAGGAAGGAAGCTGAGAATAGCGTGAAGAACAAGTAAAGGGTTGCAACTACCACAGAGCAAGCCAATCAAACTCCCATGACACCAGGTCGCTAGACTGCAGCTTCAAAGATGGCATATCCCCTCTTTTCTGTCTCTCACCTCAGAAAAAAAAATACAAAAAGCATAGATGGGACGTTATGGTAAGTGAAAGAAGCCAGACACAAAAGGACAAGTATTAAATAGCTCCATTTATATGAACTGTCTAGAAGAGGCAAATCCATAGAGGCAGAAAGCAGATTGTGGTTGCCCAAGGCTGAAGGAGTCGGGGGGGATACGGGACGTTACTGCTAATAGGTATGGAGATTTTTCATGGGGTGATGAAAATGTTCTGGAATTGGATGATAGTAATGGTTGCATAGTTCTGTGAGTATACTGGAAACTGCTGAATGTTTTAGAAAGGTGAATTTTATGGTATATAAATCATATCTCAAAAATTTTCTCTTAAATTAAAAAAGAAAAGTAGATGACCCTTTTCATCATCTGGATCCTGAGAAAACTAAAGATTAACTTAAAGACCCTATCACTGGGAGCATTTCTTGCTCTAAAAAGATTTGAGATTCCACTCCTTTCTCCTCCTAACACATGGCAAGTTTCAAGTTGGTTCGTTGCCAAGTGGTGGTGCCCACGGATGGGCTCTGGCCCTTGTGAAGAGCTCATGCACAGGCAGCTCAGCGTGTATTCAGTTGCTAGCTAGACAGCAGACTGACTTTGGTGGTGGCTCACTCCTAAATCTGTAACTAAAAGTAATTCTGAGACAGAACAAGGTCACACACTGGAAATAAATTCCGTCATTTTCACTTCCTCCCTCTGAGATGTTAATGAGAGAAGCTGCTCTGCATAATATGGGACATCTTTCCAAATTCACAGTGACATTATTGGCAGAATCAGAAGCAGCTGCAAGAAAGTCAAACTATCCCCCTCCCAAATCCTCGCCATCACCTAAGAATTTCAAACCCTTCATAGCCACAAAAATGGTTCTGTGCCATAAGAATCTGGTGTGGATGAACCATATTTTAATGAAATCTTTCTAGTACTTTCACAATTAAACTTCCTTCAGGAGGATCAACTACATTACATTACAGCTAGCCTCAAGCACACTCACCCTATAATTTGGAGGCCACAAAAACAGACAAGTGTTGAGAGACCAAAAAATTGAAAGAGGTGCAAATACCTTAGGCCAGGTTTCTAATCAGAGCCCCCCATCCTTACTGTTTGACCTTTCTTTCAACCTACAGGATACCTTTCCTTTTGAGGTTAGCCAAGGAAACAGAAAAGTTAGTGGTTCTTGGCCTGTGACCCAGCTAGTAAAATCCCGGAAAGGTTATTTTTTTAAAAGAGTTGAATCTGTTGTAGCAGACAGCTTCAAACGAAATAATTTTGTATCTTTTCTTCTTCCCTGACTTTCCAAAGAATAAGAACATTTTTCTAGTTTAGATAAAAGGGTTTGTTATCTTCATGTTTTCAAAATGACACAAGGGCCAGATTTAAAAGAATTTTAAAATGAAAATGACTGTATTTCACAGACGATTATAGCCTTTTAATTCCAGACAGACTTGACCCAAAGTCAGGCCTGCACACAAACTGCACCCTCTGTGTGAGAAACTTCATACCAGGTCCCAGCATGAAATGCCCTAGACCAAAAAGACTTACAGATCTACAGCTACCATTCTGCTGCTTCTGGCCTGACAGTTCTGTTTTGGCCACCTCAGTTGCCCCCTTAGAGCATGGATGACTGGAAACACAAGGCTCTAATACTTAATGTACATAATGTTTTATGAAGTTGTTTTGATGCATCAATTTTGATGCCAGGGACATTCTGTCATGGTCTAAAAGAAAAGTCTTACACGTTCAACCTGTTAGGAAGCTTTTTAATATTGCTAAGGAATATGCATAACAGATGTTCCTATCTTATCCCTGAGATAAGATAAGTGGCTTAGTAGGTTAGGGTTAGGAGTCTGTCATATACACGATAAAACACAGTGATTTTACATTTTGGTAGGATACTTATGGCTATCAAAACAAAGCCTATAGTGGTCAGTCCTTCTGCACCGACTTCTTCTTCAACCTCTAGCTCAGTGGTTCGTAAACCTCATAATCATAGCTGAATTTGTTAAAAATAAAATTCCCAGGCCCCATCTTCACCTTGAGATGCTGATTCAGTAGTGCTGGAGAGAGCCCTAGGAAATCACACATGTGCAAGAATCCAAGTGATTCTTATACTGGTGATCCAGAGAGAACCTTCCGGAAAATCCACATTAGAACTTTGCCCATCCACCAAGCAAGGTATACAATAGCTTGGACACCATCTTAGGAGGAGAAGCCTGGGAGGATTGGATTAAATTTGACTTGCACACCTGGCTAAATGATTCCTGTGGAGTCTGTCTAGTAGCCACAATCTGAGTTAGGAATCAGCGTGTCTGGTTAGATTTGTCTTGTTGAATGATACTTATGACTCTCTGTTTGCTTTTACTTGCCACTCGTGGATACCTCGTGCACCATAGAAACAGAGACACCAGACATAGGTAAGCAAATCGCGTGGGCAGCTACCTAATGTTCCCTCTTACCTAAGAGGCCATCTCCAAATAATGTGCTAACAGGGAAATGTTGCTTCTTAAATAAGATTAAAGGAATAAGCTGGGCTCGGTGGCTCAGCCTATAATTCCGTGCCTTGGGAGGCTGAGGTGAGTGGATTGACTGAGCCCGCGGGTTCGAGACCTGCCTGGGCAACTTGGTGAGACCTCATCTCTACAATAAATCAAAAAATTAGCCGGGCGTAGTAGCACGTGCCTATAGTTCCAGGTACTTGGAAGGCTGAGGCTGGAGGATCGCCGGAGCCCAGCAGGTCGAGGCTGCGGTGGCCGGAAACGGCCACTGCACTCCAGTCTGGGCGACAAAGTGAGACTCCAACTCCAAAAAAAAAAAAAAAAAAAGATTAAAGGAATAGTGTGAAAGTGAATTTGGAAGTAATGACTCAGGTAAGTGTCTTCCAAAAGAAGATGGGTCCACTAAGGAATTTGCAGGAGAATCAGCACATACCAAGAAGAAAACAAGATAAGTGAAAACTGGCAGTTTAGTACTTTATGAGAAAGCAACACTGTGTTTCCCCTAAGATGATATCCCAAATGAGTCGGCAAGTTCAAATAGATTTGATGTTTTTAAGTTGTAGGTAGAGAAAGAGGTAATACAGCAATCTCCCTACATCCAGAAATATAGTTGACAAGTGTATTAAACAGTAACCATGATAACCTTCTTAATAAGATTTTCCCTTTTTTATTTTCCACCAAAAAGAATAGGAAAACTCTAAACTGACCGTTTACAGTCAATAGCTCATAGCTCTGAAATTAATCATAATGAGTATTTCTATTCAATATGTTTATGCATTACACTTGTCAAAACTGTTCTAAATTACCTGAAATTGCAAAGGAGAAAATTGAATTTGTTCACACCTGAATGCCAATTGTCTTCAAAATGGCACTGATAGGGTTTTAAATTTGAATTTCGTTTGGGAGGTGCCACTTTCTAAATGCCAGTGCAGAAGATCAGCCTTGCTACTTTGGCATAACTGATTTCTTAAACAAATTAAGTTGGTTGTCAAATTGCTTGCTGTTAAAGTGTTGCACAGTATTAATTATAAGCATTAATTGCCCATTTAACAATCTATGTGATTTTTAACTAGCATGAATGAAGTGATCTTTGCTAAGTTGGAGGGCATTGCTGCAATGTAAAACTAACCAGAAGGTGACAATAAGTCTAACACCCAAGATATAAAAGAAATCGTTACATATCTCAAATTGCAATTTGCATTTAGACATAAGGGATTAAAGCAAATTAGAATGCAGTCCAGTGGTTTTTCTTTCTCAGGTATATCATGTTTTCAGAAAGTAGAAAGAAACCAGTCTCAAAGAGCTGAAATGCACGTGGGAAATGGCATGAAATGGCAAATTACATATTGATATAAAGGGCCTTCCTGACTGCTGGCTGTCAAGAAAATAACATTAATCAGATTTGAATTTGGTATGTAGGGCTATTCCATTTTCTAAAGGCCAGTACACAACGTTTGAGAACAGCCTAGCTAAACAAAAAAGGACATGTTGCTCAGTTAGAAGAAGGCAGGAACACTGTTTGTTTTTGCCATCTTCAGAACAAGTATATTCTGATAGTGTTTTGCACGTACAATCTCATATCTAATCTAATCTTAGTCCAGATCCAAACTTGTTATCAACCCTGGGCAAGCTCCCTATGTGTCTGGGTTTCCCCAGCTGAGATTTGAAGAGAATGCTAATTCTAATTTCCCTCACAGGCACATTGGGCATACTCAATAATAAATGAATGTAATGCATTCCAAAGTACTTTTGGGTGAATAACATTTCTCTTGGAAAAATAGCCTGTGGACTCTTCCTAAACAAAGCATGACTAATCTGGCTCAATTGAAACTCTACAAACTGGCTGCCAAAACACTGAAGGTTGTTTCAGAGAAGGCTTTTGACCCCTTCTTTATTCTAGAAAGATCTAAGTGCATTGGGGAGATTTTATTCTGAAGGCAAAAATTCAACTAAATATGTAAAAACTTTTAGTCAAACCTCTATTGAAGTAGTCTTTGCTACAGTGATCTTTTGTCTGTTATGACTGCCAAATTAATTCTGGAGTCTTTTGGGGTCCATTACCCACCTGTTATCGCGGGTCCAGGGTTGACATTGTCCCTGGAATCTACTGGATTCTGTTACTTAATGAAGGCAAGTAGAAAAAAATCATATATTCCAATTGGATCTGATTTTTTTCCAATTAAAGCTACATACTGACTCTCAAATTAGTATTTGGCAGCCTTTTTATTATTAGAATACATAAATATGCTTAGAGGGCACATACAATTACAAATAAAATTAGTAACATGCCAGTCCTGAAAGGTATCTTAATTATTCTGATGACTCCCCTCCTTTTTGCTTGGCTAAGTGGCCAAGGCCTGAATTCGTTTATGTCTAAGTTTCACATCTGATGGTTCAGTTTAGTTCAGCAGTTGCTGAATTCTGGCTCTGAGGATAGAGAAGTGAATATGGTTCCTGCCTGTAATGAGCTCATAATGTAGTTGGAGAGAAAGATATTTTTAAACACAATGCTTACACCCAGCACTCAGATCTTGGTTTCCAATACCATTCTCTGATAAAAGGAACCAAGGGTCCTTGGAGAAATGGCTGATCCTAACATTGGGATTGGAGTATACAAGATAAGCCTGGAGCATCTTGTAGTACCAGAAATAAGGAAGGGCTTACAAAAAATAACATTTTGGGGTGTGTGGCAAAGAGCCAACAAAATGATCTCCCAATGGTCAAAGTTGAAATAATTTGAACAAAATAAAGCAGCATCAGACATAATACAAAGTGTAGAATAAATATCCATGAATCCATACTGATATCAATAAATTCATAAATAAATGGAAAAAAGATGCGGTTCCCCTTCAGAAGAATTCAAAATAAGTGCTGTTGATACTCTAACCTCAAGGAGGTAGAGCATAACTCCCTACTCCTTAAGTGTTGGTTATGCATAGTTACTGTATTCCAAAGAGTAAGATGAGGAAAGTGGGAGAGAAAGAGTAACTTGACAGTGGAGAAAACTGATAAACACTATTACAGCCAGGAGATCAATCAACCCCATCAGTGACACAGCATGTTGATAGCATGTATTCTTGACATGATTTGATCAGAATGGCACTTTGCCTCTATAGTCTTCCTCCTCAAAGCCCACAACCCCTGTCTAACTATTTGAAAAAAAAAAAAAATCAGACACATTTCAGTCAAGGGTATCCTACAAAATACCTGACCAGTACTCCTCAAAACTGTTAAGGTCATCAAAAACAAGAAAAGTCTGAGAAACTGTCACAGCCCAGCAGAGCCTAGGAAGACTGATGACTAAATATAATTTGTTATCTTGGATGGGATCCTGGAACAGAAAAAGGACATTAGGTAAAAACTAAGGAAATCTAAATAACATATGGACTTCAGTTAATTTTTTTTAAATAATGCTAATACCATATGATAGGTGCTGCTAAGTCAGTAGTCCTTCCTCTCTCTTTCTCTCCCTCTCTACTTCTCCTGTCATAACACATGGGCATATGGCAGTCATGCCCTGTCTGCTTATCTGTCTCTCCCACTAGACTGAGTTTCAAAAAGGAGCTCTATCTTGCACACAAGTAGGTCTTCAAACCATAGCACAGTTCTTGGTCACATTGTATGCACTTAGTAAATGGTTTTTAATGACTTAATAAACAATGCAGAAATGATACCAAGGAAAAAGTTCAGATGAGAGATGATGGAATCTTAGACTAATGATAGTAAATATAGGGAGAAGTGGGCATACTGGAGAAGAATGTAGGAAGTAGAATTTTAAAAACACATGCCGTTTCACTGGATGTGGGGAATGGTGGAAAGAAAAAGGTAAAAAAGAATGACTTCTGATTTCTGGCTTTCATAACTGGGTGCTAGACAGAGATATGGGCATTGAGCACATAGGAGATAAACAAGACAAGGTTGCTGTCCTCCAAACTCTCATGGTTTATTAAGGGGGGATACAAACATATAAACAAATAATGTAATATAATTTGTAATCCCAGAATAGAGACAAGCATAATACAAATAACCCAGACTGGAGATTCAGGGAAGGATTCTTTGAGGAGAGGATACCCAAGTAAAGTCTCAAAAGGCATGTGAAAATGAGTTAAGTGAAGAAAGGCTTGAATAACACACCAAGGAACATTGAAAAGCTTTTAAAGATGGGAGCCAAATGATCAGAATAACCCTGGAGGCAGTGTAGAAAAAATGGATTTAAGATTTCAAAAACACCTTCTGTATGTCAGGCTATAGAAAATATACTAGACTGGAGATGATGAAAGTTAGAACTAATGTAATGGCAGAGGTACGGAAGAAGAGAATGGTTCTAAAACATACTTTATAGACACAATTGCATGTAGAGAGAAAAGATGGGATCAGGGCTGACTTCCAGTTTTGAGGCTTGGAGGATGTCAGTATTACATGAATTTTCGGTTCAAGTAAAATATATTGTCAAAACCAAAGTTACTGCAGTCATTGAAAAAATGAAATTAGGAAGAATCAAAAATAATGAACAACCTTAACCATCTATACAGGTAAAAATAACTTGAGATCCCATGTGAATATGTAATTGAAGAGTTTCAGGAATGCCAAAATCCAGTCCAAGTAACTTTAGTGTTGCCTTTAGGAGGCATGGCTGTATGATTATACAATCGCGTGATTGTGATTGTAACTTTAAAAAAGGTTAAATATAATCAGTTCTATTATGTCCTGAAAGAAGAAAAAATGGATTAGAGAAGTGTAGTGTGGCAGTCAGCTGAAAAAGGGAAGCTTAGAGAGAAAAACTTTAGCAGTGTATCTCCAGCATTGTCCTCCCTCAGTGACACTCCTCAAGCTTTAAACATACTTTTCAACTGACAACAAAAGCCTGGGAGTGTGGTAGTGTCCTCAAGTGAGGCAAGAAGCCCAGGAGAGCAATAGGTTCATGAGGGATGAGGAAGACAGGAAAAGAAAATAACTTCGATTTTGAATTTGTTGAGTTTGAGGTGACTGTGAGATACTCAGACAGTCTCATATAGTAGATAATTGGATAACTGGGTATGAAAGGTATGATGTCCTGGGATTTTCTGTCTTCTGCTTCTTTCTACCCTGAGAGGAAATGTCAGCATCATTGCAAGTTAGCCATATACACAAAATTTTTTTCATACTTGGACCCATTACTAGAAAAGCAAAGAAGTATTGATCCCCTTAGTATGTACGAAGGAAAATAAATTAATGTGCTCATCTATTAAGGATCTTTTTATCAGTTGTGCAAAAGGCCGACCCCGGGGGAACATGTTGAACAAATTGCTTTAAATAATTTTACTTTTCTCTTCCTTAGCACAAGTCCTGCTCACAAATACTATCTGGCTATGGACCCTGTATCTGAATCACTCTATCTATCAGACACCAATACTCGAAAAGTCTACAAGCTGAAATCTCTTGTGGAAGCAAAAGATCTGTCCAAGAATTTTGAAGTGGTGGCAGGAACTGGTGATCAGTGCCTTCCGTTTGACCAGAGTCACTGCGGAGATGGTGGGAGAGCATCGGAAGCTTCACTGAATAGCCCTCGAGGTAAAAAAACAAAACAAAACAAAACTTTTGTCATCTAAATATTTCATGTGACTTTACAAAATCCTAAAACTGTTGCCACGCTGTAGTCCATCCATCCATCTCTATATTTTGTCTATGACAGGCAAAATACCGAAGTCTATCCCAGAAGATACATGCATCTAAGATAAATTTTTAGCCAATATGCATTAGTGTGGTCATAATTGTTATTAAAACATTGAAAAGCTTCCTTTCTGGTTAATAAATAACTATTGGCCAGAGCCCTCAAAGTGCCCTCTGTCACCCCAACCTCTCCCCAGTTACTACCTCCTGGAAACTCTCCCACAATCCAGCAATTTGATTTCACAGAGAGCCTCCAGATCCTTGCCTTAGCTCTGTGGCTACCTGCATTGATTGGGATCAGGTCTGTGCTCACCTTCTACCACTGTCAAGTATGCTCAATATCTCACAGAGCCTAAACATTTCTAACTTTTGCTTAACAACCTTTAATGAACCTTTCTTCCATTAATATATGTAAATCATTATTGAAACTATATTTTCAGCTTTTTATTACCTTTAGGGTAACAAATTCCAATTTTTTTTTCTGTTGCCTTCTATGGGAGCTTGGTCTTACTTTTATTTGCTCTAAATTTACTTCTCAATCTTCAAAGACCCACCCTCAATTCAACAGTTGCCTAAAATTTAATGAACAAATCTGCATTTCCCAATGAACTTCTTGATTTTCTAGATTTGCATCATGCACCCATCTTAGACCACTAAACTGAAAGATAATCAACTTTTAAGTCTGTCATTACATATCATTTACCCCATTCCCTTACTTATTTAACCACTCTTCCCTGTTCTTTCTCCGAAACGTTTTTATGTGTATGTGTGCACACACATGCACACGTTTATGTTAGTGGGTTTTATCAAGTATTCATTTTACTGGGTTTTATGAAGTCAACATTTGTTTAATTATTAAACAAATAATACACATTTGTTGTAAAAAAAAAAGTTAGAAAAGAGAGAAAAAAGCTTAATTAAAAGCACCCATAAGCCTACCACATACAGAAAATCATCACTAACATGTTTATCCTTCTAGACTTTTTTTCATGAATGTCTATATTTTAATTCTCTAAGAGTGGAATCATATGACACAATACTGTTCTATAAACTACTTTTCACACTTAATGTATTATGAACATCTTTCCATGCCAATAAATATAGTAAGGTCAATGTGTTTAATTTGTTAGATAGTCACTTATTATTTTAAATTTTAAGAGGTTACTCTTTAGCCATTTGACATTTGCCATGTTGGGATTTAATTTCAACTACTAGCAGAGTTGAAAGGCTTTGCTTTCTTCAAGGCCTTTGTCTTTTATAAAGCCCCCTGGCTAACCCCAGCCTATTAAATCTGAATTTATTTAGCAGTGTCTATACTATTCAATTAGCGCTTGATTATATTTTGCTATCTTTTGCTTTGCAGTGCTTTCATGAATAAGAGGTATTTTTCTATTGAAGTAAGTTGCTTGAGATGAGAAACCACATCTAATATTTTGGAATCTTCCCCACCTCCCCACCAACTTCTAGCATAGTGTGGAATCCACTACATGTTCTTATTGTGTAACTGATTGATTAGGTAATTCTTATCTGTCCCAGGAGTTCCTGAAAGGAATTTCAATAGTGTTTAAAAGAGGTGCCTTTTTTCCCCAAGGGAACATAAGCTCCCCAAGTATTATGTTAAAGTGTTTCTTATTCCTCTGTACCAGCTTTCATTCCTTATACATAGTAGGTCCACAATACATAGTTAATGAGTGAATGAATAACTCAGGTGCAACATATAATCAATTCATCTTTCAAGGAAATTCATCAGGCTGGGTCCTGCCTTTTATACAGGTTTAAAACTCTTGTGGGTATTATAAGAATTTTTGCATAAGAAATAGGGAGGAATCAAGCTTGATTTGTGCCTGAAATTGACATCCCTCTGAGTTGCTGCTCGTTTGAAAACCACTCACCTCACCTACCACATTCAACCTGCCACATAGAGAAGGAATATTTAGGTTTTTCCAAATAAAGCAAATAATTGGTTCACTGCAGCTTTTTTGCTTGGAAAGCAGCAATAATAGAGTCCTGATGAACAGGATTTACATGAATTCTTGAAGCATCAGTAATGAGAGTGCTAAAATGTATGTATCTATTAAAGCTAATATTAAACTAAATTTTTCTTCTTGTCGTAGCTGTTAGTGCATTTTCCTTTGACTTAATTTACTCATCTTTCCTTCTGAGAGCAGCCTTCACCATAATCTGGTACACTTTATTCATTCCAAAGCTATGATAAGGGGCCCTAAGAACTAGCCCAGGCTTTGGATAGCTAAATGTCAAATCCACCCAGGACAGCTTTTGCATAAAGTTCCCAAAGCTGGTGTTGTCAACATCTGCTTTGATGCAGTGAGTGAAGTAGAATGCTTAAAGCTGTGGGATATGTGGTTCACACTAGGTATCTACCACAACTTCTTCAGCCATGCTAACAGTGTCTAAATACCCTGTTAGTGATCTTTATAATCATTCAGATGGCAGAACCTATATCCAGCCATCAGTTGCTCTGAAAATACTGGTCAGAACACTTAGGTGCCTGGCTATAACACTTATCTCCATACTGAATACAGTCAGCACTCACCCTTATTAATCAATCAGAAGTGAGATTCTCATTGTGTGGAATGCTGTAGGGCAATTTTATAGACTTCTCGAGAAAGAAAAATGATGCCAGAAGTTGTTAAAGCACAGTGTGCAAATTGAGAGGAGAGTATTACTAATTACTACTTTCATCTTTGAGGTTTTCCTGCAGGTTCTTTGTTTCTTAAGAATACCCAATTTGTTTGTTATTTGCTTTACAACTACCATGTATATCAGCTCCTTCTTCCTTCCCCTTGGAAGACAGCACATTTTTAACGGATTTCTTTAAGAAGAGGTTTGCTTTTTTTTCCCTCCATCTAGAAGCTAATAAAGAAAAGCTGTAGATCAGTAGAAAATGGGAATGTACATCTAGGGAGTACCATTTCTAGGTTAGGGAAGAGAGCTTGCTCTAAGATTTTAACTAGCAACATATTGCAATTATAGGCAGGCTCTCCAACATGTCCTTAATTATGCAAGGTAAGTCAAATAAATGTTAATCTGTAAGACAGCTAATTTACTTTCTGAATCTATTCTAAAAATAGGATGAAATAAAATTTGCTTTTGAGATCATTCATTCTAAAGTTGGAGTAAATTATCTAATGGGATTAAAAAACAGCAAAAGGTAAAAGGTCAGAAGCCATGGGATCTTTTTTTCCCCAGAAATGGCAGGAAATTGTAGTAGATATTAGGCGAAGGAGCCTGGACTTTCTTTTTCAATCCATGTAATGCCCATGCTTCTTTGAATGACCCTGTGCAAGTCTCTGTGCTTCCCTGTGCCCTCATTTATCTGAATACTAAAATATACTTAATGATATCATCGACTAGTTTTGTGACATTTAAACACTGGATCCTGAGATCCCTCAGTGTTAACTGAAGGGTTCAGAATGATCTCCCTTTCAGCTCGAATGTATTAAAATGACTGTAGTTATAACTTACTGAGTGCCTACTGTGTGCCAAGTACTGTATACCATACTAGATATTTTATATACAGTACAGTATTTCCAATCTTCACAACACACAAGGTAAATAGTATTGTTTCCATTGTAGAGACAAGGAAACAGAGGCTCAGATTAAGAAATTTATCCTGTATCACACAGTTTACAAATAACTCCACTGGAATTCAAACCAGGTCTGCCTGATTCCAAAAAAACCCATGATGCAAACAAACAAACAAAAACTGTCCTGTGATGCTCCCACCATGCCACACATACTGCCTTTCTTTTAAAATCAATGATCTCTAGGAAGGTTGGGAATATTAGAAAAAAGTGCTTTGCAATCTAATGACATATTCAATAGCAACAAAATATTTTTGTTTACATGATAAATAATGTTTAGTCTAGATTTCTTTCCCTATTAAAACTGTTTCTCAGATTTTTCTGACCTAGTAGTGTACCCATAGTGCAAGATATAGCATTTACATACTCTGTACATGTAATTATTCAAATAAATCTCCAGAAAACCTTGTCACATCTCTTTGGAAGATTCTGTAATTAGAAACTTCATCAAATTTTCCTTAAGGGACAGAGACAGGAAACCTTCATTTTATTAAATTTCTTGACTACAATAGTAACTACAAATTGTTTTGAAGGAAAAATGGAAGCATTTCCAAATAGAATTTCATATGATAGCCCCTGGGTACTTCTCCTGGGACAGGTCTTTATCTGATCCAGTTTTACACACTTTGATTTGAATCCCAATAAAGAGAAACATTTGCCATTTTACTCATCAATACTTCAATGTAATGGGGCAAGGAAAAAAGTTTAGCAAAGAAGTTGATGGAGTGCTAATCCCTGGCATTGTATATGAGTTTGAATTGACTTTGAAAGATGCTTTTAAAACATGCATGGATGATGTAGTTGAAACTTAGGTTCCATTTATTATTTTTACTGCAACTTTCTTTAATTCTACAGAGAACTCAAACTAATGAGTCATGTAATAGATGACCAAGTACTTAAGCAGAATGTGAAATGGTACTAGGTGGGGATATAAAATAAAATTTGTGACAAGCTGAATGCATTTATTTTTTTAAAGTAGATACAGAGGGTGAAGGAGTGACTAGACAGGATGAAATTAATCAATGACTTAATTTGGTTCTCATGGACCTCACCAAGGACTATATCTCGATTTTCATGTACATCTTAAGCAAGTTGACCTCAGAACTCAGCAGGAATTAGGCAATATCCAGATGAGTACAAATAGCCCCTTGGCTATTTCATAGGAGGGAAATGATTTTTTAATCTGACAGCTTCCAAAAGTGTTTTTAGGGTATTCATGACACCAAACATACAGTATTCATTTAAATTTTATTGGCAATTAAGAAATCTGAGTATGATAAAGTCTAGACACAAACA